GTACATGAGAAAACGTGTTCATAACGAACGAAAATAAATAAATAATTGAATTATGTCTTAGCCAGTCTTCAACCCTGGTCTCCCACTCTCTGGTCCAAGATTGGACCAGAGACATGGACACCGGATTTTTCTCTTCATTGTGAATGAATAAAACCTCTCAAATAATAATCCAAAACAGCATCAGCTCTCCTGTCATTTAACATCTAGTATAAACTCTCCCACCACCATAAACTTCACTTTTATTTGTGCAAATTATTTATAACCATTGGAAAATATCTGGTTTTTGCTTTTACTTTTTTGGATGCAAGTTTAAATTTGACAACTTCCTGCAGTTATAATGTTTGCTCAGCAGAAACGGCTGTTTGGATACACAACCATCAAACGTCACAACAAACTGTGTGAACTTTGCAATCAATCGGTGTGCAGCTATTATTGTAGGATTGTTTCCTCTCAGTAGGTGTTTTCTACGTCAATTGAGGCATGAAAACTACTTTTTACATCAGCGAGATTTTTTTTCTCCTGTTGTCTGGGGTTTAGAGCAACTTGAAATCAACAAAAGAAAAAAATGGTTTTACAAAAGAAGTGTTGCAAAATAAAGCTAAACACGCAACTCTGATAGATCAAAAGGTATCATGTAAAGGTTTTTTCTTTCTATAAAAGCGGCTCTTTAATGAGGAGCATTTCTTTTGAATGGGAACTTGTTTTAATTTGATCTTAGAATAACTGTGGAACTAATACCTATAGTTAGGCTTATCRTTATAGTCACTGATTTACAATCTAGATGTTTGATCTGATTTATTTTTAAGCATTTTATTTGCTTCCTACTAAGGGTAAAGCTGTCACTCTTATCCCATGAMAACAGGAATCAGCTCCAGGTTGGATCACTGTAAGTCTCTTTGTTTTGGCACGCTGCTCTGTCTGCAGAAAYTACACTGGTGCCAGAAYTGACTCCAGTGTTCTGAGTCTTTGYACTTGTTTTCTCGCTGCTGCCAGTTATTTTCATGCGTAAGCCTGTCACAATAAACAATAAAGCTATGTACATTTTAATGTAAAATTCCATACACAGAGGGGTTAACTCATTATATTAGTTTAAACTGGTCTCCAACAATATTATCGTTTATCGCTATAATTTCGGAGACAATTTTTCGTCCAGTAAAATTTGTTATTGTGACAGGCCTATTCATAGATAGATACATTTATTTGTATAGCGCCTTTCAAAACTCAGTTACAAAATGCTTTACATCATAACAGGAACAAAACACATAAGAAACATAGACATGCAAAGTGTCCTGATGCATCTCAGTAATCCAGGTAAAAAATCAAAAAGAAAAAAATTGTATAGGTCCTCTGGACGGGTTC